CTCGATTGTCCATCCGCTTTGTTGTCGTGGTTGAAAGACTATTTCGCAGGAAAGAATCAAACGAATGCAAACGGTACTGTTTTAGAACCGTCAATGGATAATTTCCGAGTCCTTCAGGATATTGTTTTCTTCATACTTATTTTCAACATTCATCAGTGACATTACTATCTAGACCTCCAGCCAGTAACTTCAAGTATGCTAATGCGATGGTTCTATGTTAGGGCATCTCACAGAATTCCGGTATGGAATTATATTCTGACCGTTTGGCACAAGTGCGAATATTCTCTAACGAGCCCGGTCTCCAGTGAAATACTTCTCAATGTTTCGAATGCGTTTTTAGTCTTTTCTGGTTCGAGTATTTCTTGGAACACATAGTCATTACTTACGTACCCCTTACCAGAACACACAACTAAATACGTCGGAGTCAATACAGATAGCAGTCCACGGTCATGCAAGCCAGTGTGGGCAAACGGCATCGCTTATTACTTCCGATACGTGAGCCGAGACAATGCGGGGTGAAGTGTTCAACTATACTTTCCCTTGTTCATCGGTGCAATTTTCCTGTTGAATCTCTCTGTTCCCCTGTAAATTTTCTCTGAGAGAGTCAAGAAAAGAGATTTAATTAGGCTCCATTGAGGATTGGCGCTTTTCATACTCTCATGAACACCGATCACAAAATTATGTCATTTGTCAGTTAACTTCATACGAGAATTCCGCAGATTCTCAACGATCCCAGTCATACGCTCAGTCTGGGCCTGTCTGACTGTCGTTCCATGCCACAACACGTACTACTTTTCGCCGTTTGTCTCAATGTAATGGTAAATAGCTTTTGTTTCAAATCTAAGCACACTTACTTGCAAAATCCATTACAGTATAGTACAATACCAAGAGATGGTAGTATTAAGATAAACATCTCTATTGCACCCCTCAACGAGAGGTGGCGCTATAGCATAAACGCGTCGACTGAATTGAATGCCGATCTTAGATTAGGAACGGCAGAGAATGTGGGTTCAAGATAGTAATGACTGTTCCATAATTTATCGGAGTGAAAATACGGTCGATGGGAACTATGAAGAATCTAAAGTGTGCCTGGTTCTCACGTGTGCACTCTTGATACGTGGTAGACAGAGCGAATAATAATAATTTTAGAGAAAATGTTGATAAAACCGATTCCTCTATACTTTTTTCCAAGAAGACCGAGCACCTCTCTAGTAAATCTGTAAGATGATCAACTCAAAACATTCGTTCGCAACCTGACCACTCTCCCATGCTGTACCCCGGTGCTTTTTTCAATATCAACAGACAGTGATTGTTTAGTTGAAGCCGTAGTCGACAGGTCTCGTGCTGACGGAGGCGATTCGAGTTGTTAATTGAACTATTTCGCCCATAGCTGGGCAGCCTAAGCACCTTTCTGATTCGTTCAGTGATTCCACCTGAGCGTTGAAGTCGTCTGCGAGTACTACGTCCGCTGAACCAATAATTTTGAGCAGTCCAGTAAAGTCCCAATAGAACTCATCCTTCATTAAAGGTACGTTGTACTCAATCTGTGGATACACGGACGGGATAAATTAGCACCGATGTTCGATTTACAACGAAAGTAGCGATTTCGCTAGTGTTGCAATTTGAAGACAAAAACACCGCAAGGATGAGGTGATCGATAGTGCGGCAACTCTGCGGGGGCGGTGTGGAAGCTGGCAATACTGTATCTGAGATGGGGTACTTGACACAGTGACCAGTCGTTTGTTCACGTGACCTATTGGCAAGAACATTCAGAAAATGGATCGAGGAAGCGTACAAGATGACCCCAGTGGGAGTTTGAGCTAAAAAAAAATAGGAGGAAGAACGACCGTATAACTGCCTTGCAAGCAGTTTCAGACCTAGACTAATTTAACTAGTAAGGTTTACTTCACAAACGTCTTCCCTCCATTGCCTCCGAAAGCCGCAGTATATTCGGGATGGGTGTCTTGGGTTGGGGCTCGTCACCTTTCCCTTGCACCTCACGAAACACCTCTATATGACCAAGTGTTTCAACCAGAGAGTTGTGGTCAGTCCGTCAATGAACGTTATTCTCATACACAATCTGATAAAAAACAGCGAGAACAAAGTGCACAAAACGTGAGAACCGAAGAACTAAATTATTGGAAATAACAATGATCCTTGACTCCTGATGCCCTAACGAATCGACAATTAGGAAACTACGTACAGCTAATTTTCATGAAGGGAGGGATCAGGGGATACAAAAATGATAAAGTGAGGAGGCAATGGTGAGAATCAGAAACACGCTCTGAGACGGTGTGATGATGGCCTACATTCCTCAAGCACCATCGACCAGTTTACGGCCAATCGAAAGTTCACGTAGTCATACACTTTCACTGGCTGTGTTTCTGGATCCGAGGCCGTAAATTATAACCCTGAGACTGTAGAACAGCTTGGTTGTTAAACCAATTTGCTGTAACCCTGGCTCACAGCTATCGTAATGCGATGTTATGTGGTCCATGCATTCAAATTCCGGAGCTTAAAATACCGATCTCATTATTGAACATGGTGCACGGCGATGATCACAATCATGGGCGTAACGAAATGTGATCACGACTGTTTGAGCATAGTTTAGTTCAGATTGCACAGGATGTTATGTGACCAATTGGGCCAGTCTTGCGTCCAGACGACAGTTGTGTTGTCATCTGATCCTTAAACTGCTTCAAGGAATACAGAAGCCCCCAAATCATCTAAGGCCTAATTAAAAGACGACAATTCATGTTCCTACAACCTCCTCATGTAAGCTGTTCTAATATGGTAATAAACGACTTGTGAAGAATCTGGCACGTATGTCCAACCTTAAAGGACTGTGCTGTAGCCTCAAACTATGCCCCTTAGTATCACTTGGAGGGAAGAAATGGAATATACCATCAAACTTGTTCCCAGTGATAGTTTATTATCTGAACCCTTCGGTACAGTACTCTTGGGTTCTATATTCCGCTTTCTTTCTTGAGTTCAAGCTGATAACCACGTTCAACTTCTGAGACAAGAAGCTGGCATTTGGATAGGTTCGAAGGAAGATCCCACTTTGTGTATCACCTAATAACAGCTCACAGATTCTTGTAGACACCGGTTTCCCCATCTTAACGTCGTCTGGGAACATGAAGCACTGGTTGTTAATTTCCCGCGGTAAGTCATTTGCGAACATTTGGAATGGTAATGGGCCTAACACTGACCCGTGAGACACGCCACTAGTCGTAATTTCCAGCCAGTGGATCCAAACTTGAAACTTGAAGTAGCAAATCACATAGAAACCTCCTGCAGTTAACTGAAATTTTGTGC